GAACTAATATCGATCTTAAAGCACTCATCTTCTAATGCTTGGGAGAGATTATAGTAATTCATCTGTACAAAAGGGGGTTTAAACTCCCGCTTAAGCATTTATTCAAATCTCCACGGGGGTGATATGCAGGTCACGGGGGAGTGTTTTAATCTTTTTTTTTTTTTTTTTAATACAGTCTCATCAGACACATAGTGGGTGTGTTAGCGAGGTCATATGTCGCTGCGGATGCTTTATGGTGGTCTGTGTTGGAGAATGATGGCAAGGTCCTTGAATGCAACGCCCGCCAGTCTGCAGGTGGCTCGAATCAACAAGATCGTAAAACACCGCTTGCCATTTTGGGACTTGCAGCTTCTGCCTCATAACTCAACTCAACAAATACTCAGATAGTGTACGTAATCAGATGTGTTAGCTATCTGTTCTATAAGTGAGGATTTATTTTTCCGGCAACTTCATACTTTCACTCTCTTATCGTCGGACGATTTCCTAAAGTCACAAATGGACAGATAATTCGTTTGTGAGTTCCTTTGTGCATCTGTGACTTCAGTGGAACCGTGAATCTGTTGTTTGTTAATCTGCTGGGTAACTAGTTATTGCAGTGAACAATGACTTCAGTTGCTTAGTTTGTCACTTTATTCATTGCTTCATTCGTTACTTTGACATCATTGGGTACTTTGATTCTAACTTTAACTGACAGACTGAAGTGATTTGCTAGCTAACTAACAGCAAACATTTCACAGTTCCAGTCAAGTCCGAAATGAACGAGCTAAGTACCAAAACACCAAACCGAGGTAACAGAATAGCCAACGGACGTAACTTCCTACAGCAACTTACTACTTCACGAGGTGATGTAGCTAACGAACAGATTCATAAGCGAACAGTTCAATGATTGAATGAAGTAAGAAAAAAAAAAGTAACTAACACATGAACCAAAGTGACGAACTAAGCTAGCAGGCTAACTACACGAACGACTACAGGTAACTTACTAGCTAACAAAGTAGCTCACAAAGTGCTAGGCAGCTAACGAAATGAATTGAACATGATCAAAGTACTAACTAGTACCGGGCAAAGTAACTAACTGAAATAACTAACAAATCGTTGCTGTCCTGTGAAAAACACATGTCCATTTTCGTCTTTTTGTCTTTTTTTTTTTTAACATTAATGGGATCTCTGTATTGCGTTCCCTCCTTTATGTTTGTTGTTACTCTGCTTCAAGAGTTAAAAAAAAAAAAAAGTCTTAAAGTGTTTCTCGCACGACTCGCTGACCACTGTTGTAAATCTGTGTGAATTTACGATCCCCGGGTGGACTGCAAACGTCCCCTCCCCAACAAGGAACAAGGTCAGCGTTCCACCGCGTGTTGTCTTGGACACCGGAGGTCTCGGGGCTCCATCCCCCCGCTGACGGTGCTGTAAAACACAGCGCGTTATATTACCGCACTTAGCCGCATTACACGCCATATTTTCCAAAAAGTGGCGCTATTAAACAGGGGTGACCAGACGTCATCTTTTCGCCCAGAGAAGTCCACTTTTTTGCGGCCTGCCAAAAAGCAAGGCTATTGCTATTTACATTCAAATTCATATATTTTTTTAATTAAAAAAAAAAAAAGGGGGTCTGGAGAAAGCTTTGATGGGCTTCTTTTACCCTAATCGACTGTCTGCGCATGTGTGCGTGTCAGAGTTCACGACAGTGAGGTGAGGCAGGTCAGGGCGAGGTCATTTGGACTCTGGCTTGGTGGTCCGCAGATGCCGAGTGAGGTTGTGCAGCTCGGGGTCGAGGTCCGGAGGAGGGGTTGCGCATCTTATCTACGAGGCCATCGCGCGCCGGGTGACATGTTATGGCTACGGTCGCGCCGGTCGGTCACGATTATCAGTGACAGGCGCTTCGGACAAAACGCTGCGGCCAATAAGGTGCTGCGCTCATGCGTGTCAAAGCGCTTTGATCAATCATGTGAGCCTCATGAAATCTTGACTGTTTGTTTTCCTGCGCATTAGTATCGATGATAGCGTTAGCATCGGCGCTCAACGATAAGCCTGTGCCACTCACGTGACTTTTTGTGGAGTCTGACTCAATGACATGCAGCAGACTACGCAGCGTTTTCATTCATAAAACGTCATCCGTTTTCAAGTTTTAGTTGTAGTAGTGATTGAAATCATTGACTTAAAGGGGAAGTCAACTTGTAAACGTCATTTGAGCAAACGTGGAAAACAGGTGAACCGTGACAGTCGTTACCTGAGCCCTGAGCAGCTGTGATGTCATCTTCGGTCAACAGCAAAATAGAGCAAAATGGCCGCCCCCTGAGCTGGATTAACAACGAGTGGATTTTGCTACTTCTCGAACTCCGTCTTTTGAGTAAGCTCACCGCTGGTGCGCCCGTGGTCATTAAAATTTGTTGTGTCGAAAGTAGTCTCGGTGGTCTCGGTGAGTCCTCGAGCAAACACTGATACTGGTATCTACTCTGTTGCCGTGTAACAATTAGTCTCAGAAGACCGCTTTATATTGGCCCCCATGCTTTTTTTCCCCGGCCCCCTCATGGTCTCTTCTAATGTGTCTTTATTGACTGTGACAAACTGAGCACAGAGACGATGGCCAAACAATTAAAGGTGGCCCCCAGAGGCCGCCTCATCACACACGCACGGCGAGCAGTCAGCAGCCTTTGTGTGCCTCGACGTGCGTGCGTGCGCGTTGAAACGTCACATGACCTGGCCAACGAAAAGTCACTCAAGCTTGACATCCCGAAAGCGTCAATGTTGTTTTAAGCGCGCTCCACAAATAAGGTTGTTTCAGATTGAGAAAACACATGCGCGCACATCACATACGCGTGGATCAGCGTCAGTTGTGTGTCTGAAAGCGTTTCGGTCGTAAAAGTGCTTTATTAGTTTGTGTGAGTGTTGCAGTCGTCGATATATGTGAGCGTGATATGAGGAGAGCATTTCAGTCGTGTTGATGAGAACATTTCCATCTTGTGCTTATCGGATGAATGTGTGAAAGAGCATTTTAGTAGAAAAGTAGTTCAATAGTTAAGCGAGAGGATTTCAGTAGTTCCTGTGAGAATGGTTCAGTAGCGTGTATGAAAACGTTTCAGTCGTGCGGATGAGTGAATTTCAGTAGTATGTGTGAAAGAACATGTGATGAGATGAGTGTTTCATGTGTGCATGTGAGTGCATTCCAGTAGTTACTGTGAGGTTGTTTCTGTAGTGTGTGAGAGAGACAATCTGTGTTGATGAGTGTTTCAGTAGAGTGTCTTTGTGTGAGAGAGCATTTCACTTGTCATGTGAGTACGCTTCAGTAGCACGCGTGTGAACATTTCAGAAGCGGGTGAGATCATTTTAGTCGATGAGCGTTTCAGCAGCGCGTTTGAGAGCGTTTCTGTTGTGTGAGTGCACATCATGAGAGCCTTTCACTTGCGCGTATGAGCATTGCAATGAGTGTTGTGGCAATGTGCGGATGAGAGTGTTTGAGAACATTTCTGTGAGTGTTTCAGTCGAAAAAAAATAAATTCAGAATACTACTAACCTTTGGTTCCAACAGTGAGCCACTAGTGCCATCTGTTGGAGGCAGTGGGGCACTGTCCCAGTTGCCCCAAACCACACACACACGCACACACACACACACACACACACACACACACACACACACGCACACACACACACATACACAGACTGAAGCACGCCGTTTCGTTCTGCAGCGTGGTCATTCATGGTCCTGCGTGAACCTTGACCTTCCGTGTGTGTCAGGGTCAGAGCTGCCCCGCCTCCGCCCCTCTTTAATGGCTTCCATGAAGCGCTAACGGTGCCCCTCCCCCCCACCACCTACCGTCCTCCTCATTGTTGACATGTGACTTTTAGCCTCGGATGCTAATTGGCTGACAGGCAACTAATGCAACGGGCGCCCGTCACTTGCGGTCCACGCCGACGACGTCGCAGAGCTCTGTCGTTTGTCCGTCCGTCTTTATTAGCGTGACGTCATCTGTCTCCCGTTACCGCCTCCTGGAAGCAATCACACACACACATAAAGAGGACATGTGGAGCCCAAAACCGTGTTGAAGGGGTGCGTGTTCGCAAACGGCTTTGTTACACGCCGGCTTTAATTGAAAAAACGTGTGTCGTCATCGGCCCCCTACCGCAATAAGTTGGCGACGGTCGATGATGACATCAGCGGGGAAAGACATCAATTACGTTTTACGCCTTTGCGGAAAATTGTCGGGTGTGTGATGATGACACCCCCGACCCTTTCGGCACCCACCATCCTGTCTTGCTGTAGATGAAGCTGATATTTTGGAGGAGGGGGAGTCATATATTTATGCCGAAGAAATTATTTCGGGGGGGGGAAATTGAAGCATTTTACGCATGTCGCTTCCTGTTGTTTGTTTGTTTTTGGCCGCCCCCATCGAGAAGCATCGGGTTCATAATGGGGCCATTGAGCAGCTTGAGCTCAAGTCGCACTGGCGCTTGACACCACCTGCAAATTGGCCCGCCGCACCGGTCGGGCCTTTCGTAGGGTCGAGCGCCCCGGGGGCCATAAATCACCGTGGCGCTCAAAAAAACAACTTGCACAAGCGCAACTGAAGGGATGAGGATTTTCTTCTCCGTATTTTGCCCCCGCATTCTTAAAACCTTGCTGCAATTTTATTCTGGACATTTCTTTTAAAATATTTTCTCAAATATCTGACGCTATTCTTGTGCGTTTTTTTTTTCTCCAAGTTGTCAATTCTGCTTTTCAAAATTAAAAAAAACAAAAATCTCAAAATTAAAATCAAAAAAAATTCAAGATATTCAACTTTTTGCTTTAGAAATACAAAACATCTCAACTTCTCAAATGTTATTTTTTTCCCTCCCCACTATGACACTTATATGATATGACACTTTTCTTTTATATGTACTCTTAAATGTAAGACTTTTTTCCCTTGTAATATTATGTACCGCCCCTTTCTGCATATTTCTTTTTTTTTTTTTTTTTTTTTTTTTTTTTTATGAAATCAAAGACAGTGGAGCTCTCAAATTCAGACTCGATTTCACACTAACTTTCTGGAAACAGCATCACTTTGAAATATCATTTTCCTTTTCTGCTTTCTATTTCCATCGTAGCTTGCCATCACCCCTCCCAAACGTGTTCATGAAAGCGACGGCTTGACCCGAAACCGAATGCTTTAGGCAAACACGTACAAATCACGACGCCGCCACAGTGGGTGCTCTCACAAGTACACCCCCCCGTCCGACCCCTGCGGACCCCCTCCTGACAGGTAAACACACCTGTTTATTCATCATTTTATGCAAACGTGCTCCAAAAAATGTTGGCAAAGTCTGCGACGCGGAAGCTGGAGCCTGCGGGCCCGCTGCCCAAGGTCAAGCAGCCACACAATGAGGCCTCTGTCTTTGCGCACGCAAAAGCACACGCAGTCCGTGGTGCTCACGATTTACACAGCATACTTCATTTTCACTTTTTTTTTTCTTTTTTCGACACTTATCTTTAATGTTTGGAAAAATAATGCAAACAAAGTACCGCCTCAAAAAGTACTTCGCTCAGGAGATGCCTCAAGATGGCGGCGAATGAGCTAAAATAGAGAGGATCATAAAGCATCAACACAGTGCATCAAGTATGTGCGCGGTTAGCAACATAAACAACTGAAATCAGTCATAAAATTATGAAACGCAAACAAACCATGCGCACGTCAGACAATGTGTGATTCTCCCTTTTTTTGACATTTACGGTTTTCGAGAAAACTTCAACTGGGTGTAGTAAACTTAGCATCCGAGTGAATCCAAGCCATTGATGTGTCGAATAAACGGAAGCGCTGAGAGAACGTGCTGTTCAAAGTTGTGAGTGAACCTTCTCGCTGGCACGTAGCGATGCGAACCACTCATCTCCCCCCCGCTCTGGAACTGATTTAAGTGGAACAAAACCAGAACCGATATGTTGGGAGTGGAAATGGAGCTTCGACGTTTGCTTTGTTGACATGCGGTCTCTCCATTTCATCTCTGCAATAATGCTCAATGACAACACATGGAGGGGGGGGGGGTGAAGTATGCAGCATGCATTCAATCCAAAGGAGTCGAGAAGCGGGCAGAGGGCGGGGGTCTTCTTTACCCGTCAGTCACTGCTTCGAAACTTTAGCTGACGTGGGGGCTGACTAACGAGGTAGCTCATCTCTTTGGCGTTTTCGTTCGCCCTTCCGAAATGCGGGATGGTTTCAGCCCGGCTTCGTTCGGTTCGTGTTAGGCGGTGAGCCGTCTAATGGGAGCCGACAGGCCATTTTGGGGGCTATTAGCCATCACAAAGTCGCCATTTAGGCCAAATTATGTCCATTTGCTTTTGATGTCGCACGCCGCCAAATTGTAGATCTGTTCGCTCCAATTTGATCTCACACTAGCCAGATGTCTCCAGACGCAACATCTTAAATACGCCGAGAAATTGGATGCAGAATGTACCGAAAGTACAAATCTTCATTCATTTCAGTCGCAAGTGACCTTTTTCGGAATGTTTGCAGACATTAAGTGTCAAACGGGCGTAGCGAGCAGAGTGCCAGCTGACCTCACCTAAAAACAACGTCAAAAACTTGTTGCGTCGACAAAATGCGGATTTTTGTTGTTTGCTGTTGGATTTCCTTCAGAAAAAGGAAATTAATCCAGCGGAACCTGTGGCTGAGGAGGCTAAATTTGATAAATAGTTTTAAAGAGAAGATCAGACGACTGCCTGGTGGCATAGCAACCACTTCTAAAGGGGCGGAATGGAAACTGAATCGGGTTGGTGGAAAACATTTTTCCACAAATATGTGTAAAATGTTTGGTTGGGTTGTCTTCCAGTAAACATAATGGCTAGCCGGCTAGCTATCATCAGCTCGACATAATTTCATCCGAGCAACAGAGTTAGGCCCAGCTCATCCAATAGGCCACAGGGGCAAATACTCATGGCGACAGGGACTCCAAGAGGTACTAAAATTGGTGTTGGGTGGGGAGGGATCATCTTAAATATTAATTACATTAGTTTCTATCAACTCTAAAAATGGAAGCGATGTCCAATTACTATAATATGAAAAAATAATTTCACAAAAGTGGGCTAAGAGACTGTATTATGGTCATAGGGCCCATGACATGCTTGCGTACAGTAAATGTTATTTTTCTTCAATCAAAGGTAAAAGTGACGTTCATTTATCCACTTCATGTGTCATTTATGTTAATTTCACGTTGTTTTCATACGATGAACAATGGGTTTTCTATATAAAACGATGTTTTTGTTAATATTTTTGTGTGTCTCGAACCAATTGATTGGGTTTACATGATTTGCTATGGGAAAGAGTGCTTTGATTTTTGTTTGATTCCGTTTTAACATTTTTAGGTGCCCAGAACCAATTTATTGGAGTTACATTGTTTCCTATGGGCAACATTGCTTTGATTTTCCACTGTATGTCTGCATTTTGGAATCAACTTACCTGTTGAAATGTAAATGATGGCCACCTTTGGGTCTCACTTCCAATTCATACCTCCATTAATTCTTTTCTTTCATGGCAGTAGAGAAGAAGGCCAACCCCCCCCCCTCCCCACCCTCCTTTTTTTCTCAGCGGTTCTGCCTTGCTCAAAAATAAAAGCCACCCGAAACTCGGTGTGATGTCATGGTGAAAAGAGCTATAAATTAACATATTCATTGTTTACATACTTATGACGCAAGCCTAAACTGTTTTTAATTCCCCCAATGAGGTTTCTATTAGGGGAGGAAGTGGGGGCAGATGCAGGGTGGGGGGGTGTTGTAGTGGTGTACTCGTAGAGCTTGAAGTGTCCAGCAGGTGGCCGAGGTGTTGAGGTTTGATCGTTCAACAGAGAGGCTGTAATAAAAGATGAGGTTGGCAGGGGCAGCGTAGCCCTGCTTGGCCCCAGCGGGGGGCCACGCTTATTTTGGAATCGGGTTTCCTTCATCTATCAGCGACAATTACCAGCTTGGACGCCTTGTCGGAATCTCCGGAGACATCAAAGACTTGTTTTTTTTTTTATTTTTTTAAATATTCCACGTTTGATCCGCCTCCTGAAAAGAAGCCCACCATTATTCCTGGTCCAGAACAAGACTCTGGAGGATTGAAGTAACTCGACTTGAACCGAAATGTAACAAGCTGAAATATTGCTTTTGGGGCGCGGTGCGCCCCCCCCTGCCCCTTCTTTTCCACCCAGGGTGAAATGAGCAAAACCCAATAGCTGCACGCGCTCCAACGTAGACTGACATCTTAATGTTTAACCCAACAGAAATTGCTCCGCATTCTTGTGTGGAATCAATTTGAAATCGGACACGATGACGACTGTGCTGCTTTGTGGGGATTTTTATTTTTTTTATTATTTTTTTTTTTTTACTTATTTATTTTTGCAACACAAGCCAAGCTTGAGAAAAAAAAAAACTTAACAATCCCGCATTGGCAGTAATAAGCATCAAAACCCATTTGAAAATGCAGTCGTTAAACAAAACAAACCAAACAAAACCAAAATGGCTGACTTCCTGTTCAATTCCAAGTACACCTGTGCCTGTCTGCAAAAATGGGGCCCATAATGCTAAACGCCATCGAGCTGGCTCACAAAAATGACCGTGGGTGTTCCGTTAATTACAAACCTTGAAACCACTGCAACTTTAATACTCATAGAGCAGAAACACATACAACAAGAGCAAACACTCAAAGGTGGGAAATGTGAGAGGCGCTTGACTGAATACAGTCACAAAAAAAAACCCCAAAAAGGATCGGCTCAAAATGGAAGGGACGCTGAATGCGAATGGCGACATAGCGAGGGAGGGTTGACCGTATCGCGTGTTTTTGTGGCAGCGGAGTCTGCGTTTGGTCGAATTGATGACACGCAGCACTAGCGTGTGATTTATGTTGCTAAGGTCTAATTGGCAGAGAACGTCGGGCCCAAACTCCACAGAGGCCGCTGGCACGTCATCCATCTTTTATCCTGCTTCACGATTCCTCTTTGGAAGTCATGATTTAACACCGTCCACCAGCACAATGTCTCCATGGGAATCTTTTTATGTATTTACTTTTTTTTTTTTTTTTTTTTTTAATAGCGAATAAAATGCATTAAAAAAAGGGTATTGCGGTGAGCTTATGAAGGCTTCATTTAATTTTACACATTTTCCCACCAGCTGTTTGAAATGTATGAAAGCCATAAAATGTTAATGTCTTGAAATAGGATAGCTTTTTAAATGGTGCATTGATGTACAAGCTGTCTGCTTTGAGCCAACATTCAAACATCTTCATTATGTAATCTCTCTCTTTTTTTTTTTCTCCTCAGCATGTTTGTCCAAATTCAAAATCGCTATGTAAAACCCTCAAAAAAATTAGCAAGTTCATCAATCAATATGTAATTTGGTGTATCAAAGGTGGGGAAAGTGCTACACACGTGAAAGACGAAGATAAGAGGACACACAAAAAAACTGTCAAAATTGAAAATGAAAAGGAAGTTCACCATTTTTGTTTGAAAACTCTAAAAAATAGCTGGGTCACAAAGAACCCAGTTTGGTTTTCCAAAAAATGGATTGTTTTACTACTTGAATCGATTCGATCCAACGAAACAACCCAACGGCCCAATTTTGTGGTTGTTTTGTGTAAAACATGTCTCTCTTAACTGGCCGGATAAAAAAAAAAATAATCTCAGTGACCCAAGGCCAAAATTCAACAGGAAGTCCGCCATTTTGGTTTTGAAACAGTCATTTCATATTTTGTAATCCCCTTGAAAAGTTGGAGGGGAAAAAAATGAGCCAATGACACCGATCTCTCAAACCAACGCAAAACTGGGAGCACATGTCTGTCCTGACGGGCCTCTTGAACAATCTCAAGAACCCAAGCCCGAAATAGAACAGGAGGTGGCCATTTTGGTTTAAAGCTGCCATTTGGGAGGAAATCCTTCAAATGGAACTTCTACCAGAGAATTACCTCAAATGAGCCCCAATCAGAAGGCGATATCCAAAACAGATGGGCGACGCAAAAACGACCGCGCTTTTTTTTTTGTTTGTTTTGTTTTGTTTACGTAACTTTGGATCATTGAGCGCTGAACCATGGAAGTGTTATACAAACTTCTTGAACGCCCCTCCAGCAGACGCGGGGTCGTCGGTGGAGGCAGCAGCGCCACTTTGATTTGCCTCATAAAACCAGGAAATGTATCCGCTTTCACCGTCTTCCCCGGAGAGCCGTATTAAGAAAGGAAAGAAAGAAGACAAAACGCACATCTCGGCCAGGCGTGAACAATTGCCTCCAGATTGTGCATGCGGGCCTCTCCTTGGATCTTCCAAATGTTATTGAAGGAGGGAAAGTCGTTAGAGAGCACCAAAAAACCCCAAAAGTTTCAATTTTGGTGGTCATAGCAGGAGAACTCTCACGCTGTCTCTCTCTCCCTCTCTCTTTCTTTATATTCATCCACTTTCAAATCCACTTCGCCCCAGGAGGGTCCAGGGTGTGCGGGAGCCTATCCCAGCTGTCTTTTGGCAGTAGGCAGGGGACACCCTCAACTGGTTGCCAGCCAATCGCAGGGCACATGTTGGCGTGCACAGTCACACCCAGAGTCTTCCATTAACCTGCCATGCATGTTTTTGGAATGGGTGAGGAAACCGGAATACCCGGAGAAAAGCCACGCAGCCATCGGGAGAACATGCAAACGCCACACAGGAGCGCCGGTGCCAGGTATCGAATGCTTGTCCTCTGCACCGTGAGGCCGGCACACTAGCTGGTTGCACACAGTGCAAAATTGAACCCCTGAACATTTAATATCAATAATTGACGCGTGTGTATGGATATTTAATCCCACACAGCAAGAGGAAATTACGATATTGAGGGTTACTTACCTCTGCCCGGATCTGGCTCACAACGCCGCCGTCACGCAGAGCGCAAAAGAACGTTTTACGAGCTCACCTTGGAAATGCAAGAAGAGGCTGACTGGCTTGCTCGAGCAGCAGATGGCCTTTTCCCACTTGTCACGGAATAGCGGCGTCCACCTTTGACCTGCACTTTCAAGACGGCAAGATGGCGGCGGGTGGGAGGATGAGAAAAGAGCGAGACCCGATGATCATGAGAAGCGCGGAAATGTCCCCCTGTCTGATGTGGGAATTATTTATGATTCCTTTTTATCTTTTATTGATGTATATGTTGGACTTTGGTGCGCTTGGATACTTTGAGATCAGTTCACAAAAATCATCTTCATTTAAAAATAGAATGAAGGAAACATACACACACGCTTTTATTTATTTTAAAAGCAGCACTGCTGACACTGCATTTCTTCTTCTCTCGTTCTTTTGCGCAGGTGTGCCTGATCTTGTGGCTTCACATGACACGTTGTTTGTATTCGATACGAGCAGGTGTATTCAAATCTTCCAAAATCGTGCAACCACCTGGGAAACAGGAAGTTCTTCCCATGCGGATAGACCCTGATTGCCACGTGTTATGGGGGGCGGGGGAGAGATCGAGATATAATAAGACGGCAGTGCGAGGTGAGAAGAGAGCGTGTGACAGACATCATGCTGCAGACTCTGGGCCTTCTCATCCTACAAGTAGCTTTGGGTGAGTTCGACTCGTCACTGTCTCCAGGACAACAGCACATACTTTGGTGGAATTGGTAACTTATGTCTCAGGCTAAGTGGCTATGACCAGCGGAGTTCCCCAGGGGTCAAACCTTCGTCCCCTTATTGTTCATGCTTACGTTAGACCTACTTATTAGCAACTATAAAATGAACCCAACTCTACCCAATACGCACGTACTGTACTTTTTTGAGTCTACTCCCTGCCGGTTGTTTACCAAAGTTCTGAAATGCCCCTACTGTTTTCGTTTTGTCAGTACTTGGGTGTGGTACACCAGCGGTCCAGCCGAACACCAATCGGGTGGTAAACGGAGAGGATGCCCGCCCTCACAGCTGGCCCTGGCAGGTAAAAGCAACGCCTTCCATACGTAACCGAGTTGTTAGACCAGTATAGAATGTGGAAAGCACTTGCCTCGCAGTCAAAAGGTTACGGGTTTGAATCCTGCACCTTGTATGCTTCAATCTCCTCCCGTATTCAAAAACACGTTTGGTTCGTTCCAGACTTAAAATTGGAACTTGAACGGCAACCAGTCAGCAACAGTCCTCGTTTGCAAATGTAAACTTGAACCTCTTGACCGTGCAGCAACCCAAACCCAAACACTCGAGAAGTCTTTGCCTTTTTTCGAAGAAACAAGCAAAGGTCTGTGCAATCTTTTTGCTTACTAACACACATTGGCATGGTCTCACGGCTCTGCCGCAATTGCAAATTCAACCCTTCTTCCATGAAGAGATCCCACAAAATTGATGCAGAGCTATCACTAATTCACTTTCGCCTTTTACACAGAACTTAATGAAGGTGAAAGAACACCAAAAATATTAGCATGGTCTGATAGCAAAGCTACTAGCACCAATCCATTTTTGCCTTTTATACAGAACCCAGTGAAGGTGAGTGAAAACAAAAAAAAAGTCCCCTCTCTACATTAACATGGTCTTACAGCGGTGTCATAAGTGCAAATTTTCGCCAAGAAGATCCTGGCAACCACTCGGCGACAATCTCATTAACATTAATGCAAACTGTTATTCGGTGTCAGATCTCCCTGCAGGTGAAGCACGGCAGCCGCTACCACCACACGTGCGGAGGAACTCTGATAGCGCCGCGCTGGGTGCTGACGGCCGGGCACTGTATCTGGTGAGCGACCGGTCGTTTTACATATCGAGTCTGAAATCAGAGCAGCGGGACTGCAGCATCTGCTCTCAGTCTCCTGCGAGAAATACGAGTGTCCTTGAAGACCCTCTCTGCTCTCTTTTAACAAATCACTAAGATTATGTAACGTTCGACAAACAGCGGCATAGCCGCAGACAACATTCTACCTCCAGAGATTTCACATCATGACTTAGTGTTTGGAGTGCTACACTGGCCCACTGTCGTATGGTATTCCGCAGGGTTCAATTTTGGGTCCCCTGCTGTATCCATTCCATTTGCTGCCCTTGGGTTCTATCTTAAGGAAGGATGGCATTTCCTTTCACTGCTGTACGGATGATAGTCAGATCTATGTGCCGCAAAGCAAAAAGGACGCTTTGTCCTTAAGGCCACTTTTGTCCTGCCCAGAGGAAATTCAATGAAAGAAGTTGGGGTGCTTGTCCCCAGGTGTGCTTGTTTTTAAAGTGTTATATGAACAAAGTTGAATTGAGTTGGTGTTTTCAGGCCTGGAGACATTTACCGCGTGGTGCTGGGAGAACATGACATGAGTCAGCAGGAAGGTACGGAACAGATTGTTGACATCCTGCGCATCGTCGTCCACCCGGAATGGGACATCAACCACGTAGACGACGGGTGAGCTTGTATCAACAGTTGGAGTATTTATTTATTTATTTAGGCAAAATGGGTCAAATTTGATTTTTCTGTCCACGAAGTGTTAATAGCTTACCTTTTTATTAGCAACGACCTGGCCTTGCTAAAGCTGGTTAAGAGTCCCATCATGATCGACAGCATTGGCTTGGCTTGTCTCCCACCTGCCGGCGAGATCCTCGCCCACGGGACTGCGTGCTACATCTCCGGCTGGGGCAACCTTTACAGTAAGGCCTCAGCAATTTGGGAGAAATGTTGGGTGAGAATGGTTGTTCGTCTTTATGTGTGCCATGCAACTGACTGGCGACCAGTCCAGGGTGCGCTCCGCCGTCCGCCCAAAGTCACCTGGGGTGGGCTCCAGCACACCCGCAACCTAGTACAGGATAAGCGGCGTTGAAAATGGATGGATGCATGGCTACCCCTGGCGACACGTAGAATTTGGCATGCATGTCTGTCATGAGCAGACGCACAAAATAGTCTGATGAAACCATGTGCACAGAGATACATGAAGTCAGCAATTTTGGTCTGAAGTGGCCAAAAGGTCCCAAGTTTGTTTCCTGTAAATGGCATGGCGATACCACATGTAACTTTTTAGTCATTTGAGGCCAAATAAATTTGGCAGGTGTGTTGACCCTGGAGAATTTTGACATTTATCATCATGGGCATCACTCACTCACCAACAGTGGGTCCATAACGTACCCTGGAATGTTTTTAAAATTGCTTACAGCCAGTTTGACTTAACAACATGAACTTTGGTAGACATATCTACCTTGACGAGAACCACCAAAATGTTTCTCAGGGCCATGCACAGGAAGGCTGCCATTTTAGCTTCAAGCTGCCATTTTAATGCTGTAATCAGGAATCTTTGCAAGATAAACTTCTGGAGCTTTTTTCTCCAGTTGAAATTTGATTTACTAGACAGGTTTTTTTTTTTTCATGTGTGCTGAAGTTTCTTGACTCACCATAAAACATGAAACTTTGCGAGGAGAAACGTCAATTTGTGCTTGAAAGTGACTAATGATGTTGCAGGCCACGGTCCGATGCCGGCCAAGCTGCAACAGGCCTTGCTGCCCGTCGTGCAGCACAGCGTGTGCAGTCAGAGCGGCTGGTGGGGCAACACCGTCAAGACCAACATGATCTGCGCCGGCGGAGACGACGTGTCGGGGTGTCATGTACGTTAAGGACGCCGCCGGTCACAATTGGGGGAACCCGACGAATGAGGTGGGGGGACGACTTGAGTTGCCAACTTTAGGTTTTGGACGTGGTTGGTTAAAAACCTCGGGAAGACTTGACTCGACTTTGACTCGGGCCATTCAATAAAAGATCAGGACGAAATCTACACGCAGAAAGAACGTTTTAGCTCATGAAAAATGTGACTTGCTTGACATTTGGATCTCGACTTGTTTGATTTATTTTTCTTTCCCACAGCAACTGAGGACTTGCATAAACCTTGACGGTGACGACTTGAGACTTGTGACTTCCTGCCACCTGTAAACTTCATTGCCGTCTTTTTTTTTTTTTTTTTTTTAGGGTGACTCAGGCGGCCCTCTCAATTGTCAGGGGGAGGACGGGCGCTGGTACGTGCAGGGCGTCACCAGCTTCGTGTCGTCGCAAGTGTGCAATGAGGCCCAGAAGCCCACCGTCTTCACTCGCACCTCCGCCTTCGCCCAGTGGCTCAGCGACGTAAGGCGACGCACACGCTCACCACCTCCATGACTCCGGTGCAAAATGTCAACTTTTTCCTCGCTGAAAATGGAGCGGTGACACAATTTGGAGTTGCGCCCAAAGTTCCTGCCAAAATCGATTTCAAAAGCCATCGTGCGCGGTGATGTCAGCATTCGACATCAGCTCAGTGAGCATTTAAACGAGGTTACGGTTGAGTAAATACGAATGACAAACACATGTTTTCAAAATCTTTCCAAGTCCTCACCCTTTGCAGACACGAGCCGCCGGTAGACCACGAGTGAGGGTCTGCTACCACCTATTGGTTACACTTGGAACTGCATGAGTTAAAATTACGTAACGTGTTGGCCCGCAGGATTATTTATTACACTCATCCTGAGTATATTTGGGGGGGGAAATATGAACCAAAAACATAGTATTTAAATTTCTAACATGAATTTGTAACAATGTCATTACTTTTAGCAGCCTTCAGAAGGCAAAAAAAGAAAAAGGTATTTAAGAAGCTAAAATAAAAATTCATCGACTAATGCAATTTTAAATTGCTTCATTTATTTAGATGCGATCAATGTTTGTTCATATTTATTATTCAGTATTCGTCATTTATTTAATTAATCATCTATTTATTTTAATGACATTGTTTTTAATATTATTTGCCCTTAACCATTTTATTTAGTACTTTTATTTGGGTGATTTGTTCTTTTATATTCATTTGTAATTTTCATTTACTATGTTTTATTTTTTCTATTTTACTTTAATTTATTGGTCATCATCACATTTTTCCTCGTCGCATCGTAACATTAAGATGCTCTCTGGGCTACTTTTTTCTGAGCCCACCATGTTGGACCCCAAGACCAAAATTGGAAAAAGAAAATTAAAACCTAGTAGTGGTGTGATTGCTCTTTATAAAGCATTTGTTCATGTTTCCTCAGGTGGTGCTGCGCTACTGAAGAGGCCAAAAAAAAAAAACACTAGAGAGAGAGCGACAGTCTTTGAAATGTGGAACATCATTAATTATTATTATTTCTTTTATTATATCCTTAAAATTTGGGAAGATGGATTTTTGACGTACTGAAGGCGCCACGTGATACAGGCCAAATATTGAATAGACTTTACTTAATGTTCCCGTTATTTATATTGTGGAATGTGAAAAAGAAACTCCAGTTTTGCTGCATATGTTGAAATAAAATCAACTTTTTTTTTCTGGAAAAAAAAATCATTCATTAGCCTGACTATAACAAGCAAGAGAGTGTGTTCATAAGTACATTAACTGTTAGACGCAATGAAATCAAATAAAATGCTCGAGAGAAATGGAATGCATGTGAACGCTGTCGACTCTATCTACGCACCGGAAGTGTGTTGTAACCTTTCAACCAATAGATGGCAGCAGACTCTTGTCCAACCCTTGGAGGACCCGCTTCAGTTCTCCATAATTACAAAACGTTTTTTTTTTAATCATCATCAGTGTCACACAGGCTCTCTCAACATCATGACCTCTCACCTAATTGTGGGGAATCTGTGGTGGTGGTGGGGACCTATCAACTGACTTCGATGCTTTCATGGGGGCCGCAGGTTTGACCCCCATTGGGACTGTGCCAGCGAGGCAAACCTAAGCCCATCAACATCACTCATTAAAACATATGAGATGAGTGCTGATTATTGCACAGGGAGTGGTGACAGCATTGTGCACGTGTGTGCGCACGTGTGTGTGTGTGTGTGTCTGTGTTTGTGTGTAAGAGAGAGAGTGAGAGAGATTAAGGCCCTTTATGGAGGCAGCGTTCCAAAAGTCAAAGGTTAGCCTGCACTCGGGAAAACCTGCCGTTTAATGGGTTAGTCAATAAATAACAGTTGAAAAGTGTTGGCTGCCCCACCCCCACCCCCATCGCCAATCCAACCCCTCCTCATCCTCCCCATGAGACACTTTGCAGGCTAGGGTCAAGGTTTCATTAAGTACAGTATCTATTAAAAAAAAAAAAAAAAACACCACTGATGTTTTTTTTTCCCCCACAGAGGCTATCAGCATCCGCCGTGATGAATAGATATTAAAATCCACGCGAGCTCCCACACTTTTATTGGCTGCGTCGGCTCCAGATAAATGATGGCGTTGCTCAAACGCAGCCGGGCGAAAGGCGCCAGAAAAAGAGGGAAGTGGTGACATATCTGGAAACATGATTCGATTGCAGTTCAATGAGCTGCGTTTCATCTATTTGTGCAGTGTCCTCAGGCATATTGTGTGTGTGTGTGTGTGTGTGTGTGTGTGTGTGTGTGCGTGTGTGTGTATACACACTGTACGGGCCATTGGCTGGTCGGTCAGTATGACAGCGCTAACGAGGGCTCTCAACATATTTGAAGGTGTCGCTATGATTGATGCTGCTGGTTAGAAGCATTGTCATGGAACAAATTAAGTTGGAGAGAGAGGGAGAGAGAGACCCTTCTTTTTTTAATTGGGTGGAATATGTCTTGATCATATTTATCCAGGTTGGCGGCGCTGATCTGAGTTTCCACTGCCCAGTAGTCTAATTCCTGGATGACGTAATGTAGAGACTTTCCTCCCACAGGTTACAGCAGGACTTGACGGGTCTGAAGGTCGCTCTGGCGAGAGCGTTGGCACATCCCCACATTTTCCTAGATCCAAACTGCCCCCACTACACTGTAAAACACGTCATCATTCAATCAACCGGTTGAACCCTATTTTTTTTTTTTTAATAACATTTTTGTTATAGGTTAATGATTAGCCATCACATTTTTTTTCAACTTTCATGTGAAACATTAACTCCTATGTGGCACGGCTCAGTGGCAGAGTGGTGGTTTCCCAACCCGGAGGTTGGTGGTTCAATCCCCGGCCGTTGCCGGAAAGTGTCCTTGAGCAAGATACTGACCGCCGCCCCTCCACCTCCCCAGTTGTTGCTTCTGACGCCGCGTCATCAGTAAATGAATGAGGTAAAAAGTGTAAAGCGCTTTGAGTACCCCAGGTGGAAAAGCGCCATCTAAGTGACAGCCCGTTTATCATATTCACGCCATTTATGCCCACAATGCAACAACAGGCAAAGTGGTTGCTGGGCCCCGTAAATGCACCACGAATGAATAATAAACGTGCGAGGCCGTGGATGTGTGAGTTAGTGTGTACATGTCCTGTGTGTGTGCGTGTCCCAAAGGGGAATGCATCTACGGTTTCCTGCTTCTTTGTTCTTATCGACTATTTCTGCAAAAGTAGGCCTTCACTGTCGATTTTCCTCCAGAAATTTATGTTTGAACAAGTTTAGGAAATCAAACAGACGGTCCCAACTCAGTGACTCAGGAAGCCACAGTTAAATTGTCTCATTTTACGCTGAAGATAAAGAATATATGCCTGTGAGCGTTGTTGTAAGCTCTTTCTGCACCTGTTCCTCCCGCTTGTGTTCAAATTTTAATTCCTTCACGGTTTATCATGACAAGAACATTGATGCGAATTTCAGTAGCTCCTCTGTGGTGTTTTTGTGTTGTGTGACAGCATTAAGCTAGCAGACTTTATAAGATAAAGTTCATGTGGCTTGGTTGAAGACACGCCTGTTCATTTTCGAACCCGCTTGAACTTATTATTACTCATTACGGACGCAGGTGTGCTGGATTCTATCCCAGTTGATTAGTAACCAGACCAAATCGCGGTTTGGTTAAATACACAACGTGTAATTGCCGTTGTTTTATATTTCGTTTTATAAGCAAACTGCAGCTTGGGGTGGCACTAAAAAGCCAGCATTGTTTGCTTCCTGGCAAACTGTTTGCTTTTAGCGTATAATTGTTCTGGTTTGACTTGCAAAAAAAGCCATCAAGCTGTTCGGTTTACTGTTTAACTGAACACACAAAGACAATTATACAACTACTTAGTATCCGCTAGCTTAATGCTAACATACCATGCAAAGCTCATTGGCACATGGGCTATCAATTAGCATCTACTCTAGGTGGCGTTGTGTAAGCCACAAAGACTGATAATATCAAAATACACTCAGGCATATCTTCTTTATCCTCTACGAAGAACTACTACGATTACAAACAGTAATAATAATAAGAAAAAGAAGAAGAAGAATGAACGAATAATCCTGCTCTCTGAGAAGCCGAGAGAGTGGCTGAACCTGTGGGAGTATTTAGACCAGTGATGGGCCACTCAAAGTGGGCGGCACTTTGAGTGGCTCTTTGATTAATCAACCCCCCCCCCCCCCCCCTTCCCCCACAAAAATTTTCAAAAAATGCCAAAAAACATTCATTTTATGGCCCCTATGGAGAATTGGGATGGGGGGGGGGTTCCCGGGAAAATCGGAAAATACTCAAAAGTCAATTATCTGGCCTGGCACCTGGCCATACATTTTTTGGGGGCGGGGGTGCCCTCACGGCCCTCCTCACTTCAGCTTTGCCAGTGGATACACTCGTCTGACTTGATTGCAGTCAGTGTGAGAGAGAGAGAGAGAAAGAGAGAGAGAAAGAGGAGAGATGTTTACAGCAAAAATTGTCTACTTTTGTTACTCCTGACTTGCCACTGTCCTGGACAATCGAACAGGGGCGTACTGCACCAGCATCCACAAGGGGGCGTCCATTTAACAGTGCGGCACTTGAAGACCACTGACAACATCTTTTCGGCTGTTTTCAACGTGTCAGTCGAATTCAAAACCGTGCCTCTTGGTTCCATACGATGACAATCATGCTGAGGTTTAGACGTGTGTGTGTGTGTGTGTGTGTGTGTGTGTGTGTGTGTGTGTGTGTGTGTGTGTGTGTGTGTGTGTGTGTGTGTGGCCGAACTTTGCACCCGGTGTGTGCGCGCGCGTGCGCACGCGCGCCCACGGCGGATCTATAAGAGCAGCAGGCCGGGCCGCCCTCCCCGTAGCAACAGGTGTCCCAGGTGCGGCCTCCCCCTTCGGCTTTCGGAGCTCGGCACCAGGTGGCGCGACCTCCTTCGGGTCTGCCGAGAAAAAGAAAGAAGACGCAGCACAGCCCAGCGGCCCAGGAATAAACTTCATTTAGGCGTTCATTCATCAAGACACGCTCGAGCAGGTGAGGAGGCTCCCTGGACCTGGCGGGGGACTGCCCGACAGTTGGAAAACGCTCTCATCTAGTTTTAAGTTGCCAAGAAAACCAGTTGGAGTGGTCTTTATACTTTGCGGTTCCGAATCGTGGCGGTGTGCCACAATGCTGAACAGAAAAAAAACTTGGGATGCGGTTTCGTCAGCATTCCAATTTCCTCCGAGGCGTGTGCGACAGTCTGAAACTCAGATCAAAACTAGGAGATTGAAAAACACTCTTCAAAGCGATCGGAGACGTCTTGATGGGCGCTGTTGAGACTGTGTTACTGTATAATAATGCATGTTGCATATGATTCTGGCTGCAGTCAACAGAAAGAAATAGTGAGAGAGATTGTTTTATTTTCTCAGCTATATCTATATATTTTTTGCAGAAGTGGTTAGCAAGTCTGCCTTTCAGTTTTGAAGTACATGGCTTGAATCTATTGACAACCAAGCCTGATTTATGTTGTGTTTAGTTAGTTTTTTTTTTTTTTTTTTCTGGGGCGAAGAACATTTGCAAGTTCAGATCATTTTTTTCCCACCGTTGAATTTTGAATCAGAAATCACTGAAATTGGCGCCAACTTAATATTTGTCATTTTATGATATGAGAAGAGGATTTATTAAAAAAAAAAGAATGCTGTTAAAAATGAAGACAATTTGCAAGTTTGGAACAGATTTTCTGCCAGTAGGAATGGAATGCATCCATTTTGCGGTAAGGAAACGCAAAGTGTTCGAACTCGTTCCAAAGGTGCGAATGTGAGGTTATCTCATGTGTGTGGCTGGTCTCCAGTCCGAGGTGTATCAGGAAATAGCCAGGTGGACATACGAGACAGTGACCGTTGCTTTCAACGCAACGGGACAGCAAAAGCACGTTTCCGGAGTATTCAACATTCCCTTCCACGAAGGCAGCCATGTGCCTCCTTTCCAGTTTCGATACGACACAACAGGATGATAAAAAAGTGCGTCGGATGTTCCGGACATTCTGTTACATACAACTGACGACAATGCGGTTTCCTTGTCTAGATCCAATCATGGGGCCCAGACCGCAAGTGAGGACTGAGTCCCCACGTAGCCTTGGTACGTCGCACGCCACTCGACACAAGTGAGTCTGCGAATTTCCTCTGCATAATGTTACCGCTCTTCATATCTCTTCAGAAGAAGATAACGAAAAGAACAGGAAGGACGGAGCCATGCTGGCGTCCTACTCCACCGTGGACCTGGTGAAGGACGACGTGGCTGAAGAGGATCCGTGGGACCTGCCGGAGCTTAAGGACATGGGTGTCAAGTGGTCAGGTGAGATCGTTTGGACTGAGGAGGGTCCTTGGTCTGCTTATGTTGCGATTGTAGTATGTTGGTCTGAATTTTTTTTTTTTTTTTTTTTTTTAAGAAGTCTAGCCCTCCAGTTTCCCTAAACCACATGACATTTGGGAGGAAGGTCAGCCATGAGTAGACCCACAAAAAAGTCTCATGAAGTCATGTTTTTAAATGCACAGAAAGTCTTTGATTTGAAGCAGCCATTTCAAATTCCTGTGGTGCACCACAGAGGTCAAGTCTAGAACCACTCAAAATCCAAACATTTTCACCAGCAAATTCAAAGCAGTAAAACTCAAATCTAGTTTTGTCAAATGAAACAAAATTCTCAAGAACCTTGTGACGGAAAATGACAAAGAAACTTGTCAATTAGTTTTGAAGTTGTAATTTTGGCTTCCTTCAAAACTTGTCCTGGATATTGTGTCCATTTGCTACCGCATTTGAACCGTAAAAATGCAAATCACATCGCAATTTTGAAATCCGGTTTGATTTCAGCATGATGAAATTTGGCTAGATCTATTAAAAAAAAAAGTCTCTGGATCCAATACTGATCACAAAGTCAGTCTGCCATTCTGGTTTGAAACTGTCATTTTTTGTTATTTTGTCATTTTGACGTGTCGTTCCAAGATGAAACTGTCCAATTGCTGATAAATTTGAACCAGATTTACGAGATGGATGAGGGACACAAAATTGCAAAACATTTGCCGCCGCTCAAGCTACGTGTTTCAAGCAATAGGTTTCGACTGTTCTTCAGACACGTCAGGATGTATTGACAGCTGCGGTGAAGGATGAAGCAAAAGCCCAAACTGTCAGCCAGGTAAGCGTTTTTGCGCACCTTCAATTGTAAGCATGGTGCTGTCCTTCCAGATTTGGACACCAAGGGGAAGATCATGCGAGTGGTGACGGCCATCGTGAAGCTGGCGTTGCTGCTCGGACTTCTCTACTTGTTCATCTGCTCGCTGGATGTGCTAAGCTCCGCCTTCCAGCTGGTCGGAGGTGAGAGAGAAGTTCCTTCCTCTTCCGACGACTTGGGAGACTTTTCTGGCTACGCGGCTGAGGCGGCGGAGTCATCTTTGATGTTTTGCGCGCAGGCAAAGCTGCCGGCGACATCTTCAAGGAGAACGTGATCCTGTCGAACCCGGTGGCCGGTCTGGTGATCGGGGTGTTGGTCACAGTGTTGGTGCAAAGCTCCAGCACCTCATCATCCATCGTGGTCAGCATGGTGTCCTCTTCATGTAAGAATTGTTCGCCAAACATTCTTTATAATTCTCAGTCGATACATAATAGCGATTCTGAGACCACTGCAAAACCGCTTACAAGCCTACCCGTCGAAAAATGTATTAGTCGGTGGCAGTCAACAGTTGGAGTCCATCTGAGTGGAGTTCATGGTCCTTTTTGGGCACAGATGCCTTGTCAAAGACTAAAAATGTGTGAGGTTTATCAATCCTGTGCGATAGGGCCATCGAAGACTCCAAATTGACTTCCGAAAAATGTACTCGACTCGGTGGGCGAGTGGTTAGCCCGTCAACCTCACAGTGCAGAGGTCGTGGGTTCGATCCCGGCTCCGGCCTTCCGGTGTGGAGTTTGCATGTTCTTCCTGTGCCTGCGTGGGTTTTTTCCGGGTACTCCGGTTTCCTCCCACATTCCAAAAACATGCATGGCAGGCTGATTGAACACCCTAAATTGTCCTGAGGTGTGATTGTGAGTATCAATGGTTGCTCTATTCTCTGTGTACTCTGCGATTGGCTGGCGACCGGTTCCGGGTGTTCCCCGCCTGTTGCCCGAAAACAGCTGAGATAGGCTCCGACATATCCCGCGACCCTTGTGAGGATAAAGCGGATCAGAAAATGGATGGATGGATGAATGTTGTTATTTGTTTTCCCGCAGTGCTGGAGGTCAGGTCGGCCGTGCCCATCATCATGGGCGCTAACATCGGAACGTCGGTCACCAACACCATCGTGGCCATGATGCAAGCGGGCAACCGCAACGAGTTCCGCAGGTAAACAAGATGACCCCACGCCGACGTTTTGGGTGTTTGGTGCACATGTTGGCAAACGTCAGGTCGCATCTCCAACCGTCCGCCACGCAGGGCCTTTGCTGGCGCCACCGTGCACGACTTCTTCAACTGGCTCTCCGTGTTGGTGCTGCTGCCGCTGGAGGTGGCCACCGGGGTCCTGGAAAAGCTCACCCACCTCATTATTGAGTCTTTCCACATCCAGTCGGGCGAGGACGCGCCTGACCTGCTCAAGATCATCACCGAGCCGCTCACAGACTCCATCATCCAGGTAGCGAAATCAAAGGGAGTCTTTTTGACATGCTTGCAAATTAAAAATAAAACATTAGTGGAAGGAATTTGGCTTTCATTATATTTAATTATACCTTTTGACACCAAACTATTATCGTGGTTCTTCTTGAAAGCAACGGCTTTTAACGAACATTCCACAATGAAGCCTTTTGAACACCCAAGTGCAGGATGAATTACCAACACGGCTCAGTTTTGATTGACAGGCCATTGTTTCGTGTGACACTTCAGACCGTTTCAAAAATGATTGGCAACAAATGTTGCCAGGGTGCTCACAGAAGGCGGAAAAGCGAATGACGTCCTTATCCGAACTGGAAAAAAAATTTCTTGCGTTTGGGGTTGTGTGCCAGAAATTGATTTCCTTCAGAGAAAAACAAAGCGTGAAAAACTGCCAATGAGTGTTACATTCACAAAGAATAGTTGATGGAATATTGATCAAACAAACCAATATTCATCTATATACCAATGCTGCTTTCTCTTTCTCAGCTGGATAAATCAGTCATCACCGCAATCGCCACTGGGAACCCGGACGCCCGAAACATGAGTTTGGTCAAAATTTGGTGCAAGAAGAAGGTCAACACGGTAAGAATACATGCTGAATGGCCGATCGTATCGGGTGGGGGGGAAATTATTTGATCGAGCTGTGCTTGTCATGATAACTATGAGACCCGGTAGGGTAAAGCCCCATATTTCCGAAATTTCAGGTTTTGGCATAGGCTAGCTTGACAATTATATTGCTAAGCAGTGCGCTAAGCTAATCATGACAATATTATTACCCGTTAGATTGTTACCACAGATAAGAAAAAATACTCGTCAATACCACCCCCCCTCACCTAGTATGCTATGCAAATGAAGAATGGTAAACCAATCAGAGGCTAGTATTTGGGGCTGGGGGGTTCATAAACTCTAGCATAGCAACACTTGTTATGCTAGCCTTCAAGGGTTTTTTTTTTTGTTTTTTTTTTTTTAATGGGAAAATCTGTGGATTCCTGGCCTCACCTTAGCTCATAGTGACATAGAATTACAACATAAGGATGAAATCATCAAAACGGACTCATCATCTTTATATCTATTCGCGGTATGGTGGCGATTCTCGTAAGTCAAGGTAGCGCCATGCAATTGCAGAAACATTTCGGTGGCTTGTTATCTCCCAAAAGAGGAATGTGGTGTACCGCGGATGCTGAAAATAATTTGCTCCTCTGTTGGGGAAATTGAAGACTTTCTGGAACGAGACGGTGAACAGCTGCCCCGCCGGTGGCGTCTGCTGGGAGGAAGGCAACCAAACGTGGCTTGAGAAGAACATCACTTGGACGGACTACCAAGAGAAATGTAAGCCTCGCCTACCCCCGCTTTGCGGTGAATACCTGCAGTCAAGCGCCGAAACGTAATATGAGACAATGACCTTCCCCCAACTCCTCGGAGACCCACTTGAACAAGGACCGCCTTTGGTTGCTGACCCCGCAAAATACTTTCTACCTGCTCAATGGGGCTATTCACTCACTCAGCACAACCTCGTCTGGAATTCCAAGTCAGTGATTGGCCACCAATCAGATAGCGGCACCCGACGACATAAAGAAGATCTAAAATAGTGAGAGGTAAATTTAACCGAATAAGAGCGACAACAGCAACACGGAGGAATGAGAAATGGATCCATCAAGATATTATCCATCCACTCGATTATTTAATCAGCAAACTGTTTCCCGTCATCTCCTGGAATGATTTGTGGTGTTGCATCTTATGCCAGGCCAAAAAACACAATCCTGGGGCGTTCAAAAGTTCCCTGTGTAATTTTTTCATTTGTAATCATGAGTTCATTCAGCATTTTTTTTGGCCAGTCGGTTCACAATGTAAGCAAAATGGTGGGTGCGCGTCGTTTTTGACAGCATAAAAGTCATGCCAACGATAACCGGCTCTGAACGTCCCCAACCGCCGGGCCGCGGACCGGTCCGTGGGTCATTTGGTACCGGGACGCACAGAAAGAATAAATAACTTACGTTACTTCCGTTTTATTCATTTGGTCATCAGGAAGTTTTATTTTGAAAAAAATACCGGATTCTCTGTTACATCCGTCTACAGTATGTCACGCTTGACGCAGGTCAAGGCGGCGCTTCTCGGCCACGTTGCGGCTAAAGTGAAGCCCAGCGGCTAGCAAAATGAGTAAAAAAAAGCAAACGTCTTTGGAAAGTTTCAGCCGGGAGACAGAAGAGGAGCCTACGACTTTCAAGAAAAAGAAGGCTACATTTAATAGACAGGAATCGTACTTAAAATACGGATTTGTCTCAACGGGAGATTCCCACGCACCGAGGCCACTCTGCATACGTGGCGAAAACGTGGCCATGGTGAGTCGTATTTTTCATGCACTTTGTTGCTTATTTTGAAGGCAGGTTTAAACGTTACCTATCGCGACCAGAGAGTGTTGCGGCCACATTGGACGGTCCTCGTGTCATAACTCGTGTTTATGATTCTGTTTCGAAAATACCACCGTTTTCATGCAGGTCGTGATCATATTACGTTGTCGTGAAGGCCGCTCCCTGAATATATTGTGTGACATTCAACCGGTCCGTGGGGCGAAAAAAACGTTGGGGACCGCTGGTATCGAGTCTAAGTACTTTTGCCAACTGTGCCCACAGGCTCCCATATCTTCGTCAACGCCAACTTGCCCGACCTCGCGGTGGGCCTCATTCTGCTGGCTCTGTCGCTCTTCGTTCTCTGCAGCTGCCTCATTCTCATCGTCAAGCTGCTCAACTCCATGCTGAAGGGCCAGGTGGCCCTCGTCATCAAGAAGGTGCTCAACACAGGTGAAAGACAAATGAACAAATGTCATTTTTTTTTTTTTTTAACTTGCGGGACTCTTTTGTTGATTTTTAAAAACATCCAGCTCTGGAAAAAGGGCCTTTTTTTGTTTGTTTCTCTGCAACTCAATGCTTTAAAGTGACAATAATTGGATTTGGAATTCAGGATTTGTGGTGATAGTCATCAAAAAATAAAACGGTGCATACCGTATTTTTTGCATGAGTCAAAAAAATATATATATACACCATGAAGAAGAAAACAACATATAAAGTCACCCGGAAGTATACAGCAAGTCACATTTTTGTGGTGAATGAATTTGACAAAAAAAACTAGACCAAGAGCAGGAGACCTTGGACTCGCACCCAAAATCCCTGTCCCCTAATTGTAGTTACAATTGTGTTGTTCGGTTAGTCAGAGTCCCCCAAAGACAGGAGTGCCAGAGCCCAGTGAAGGAGGCAGTACAGATGGAAACAGTTCAACTACGAGCACCTGATGGCTTTATAAGATGGTCAGCGTTCACAAATTAATGAGAGGTTAGCACGCGCTGCCCTCCAAAAACACACACCCGCAGAATGGGGCATCAGAGTAAAGTTCCGAACGCGGCACATGGAGACGTCAGCAAATGAGTTCCAGTTGGATGAAATTTCTGTGTTTAACTACGGAAACGTGAGTTTTTTTATCGTTTAAAATAGCTTACTTTAACTAGAATCTCGTGTCACATTGTGGCCAAAGGTTCAATCCTGGTCGGTTATTGCGCCTTTTGTGCCCATAAACAGAAAATCCTTGTCGTTGTGGAAGCGAACTGCTGAACTGGCATGACGGATTAGTTGCCATGACTACGACATTTGGTGGTTGAACAGCAGTAATGCACCAAAATTATTGGTCAACCGCCAAAGCGAAAGTCAACATGGGATTTTGGGTGCCATCCCATTTCTAATTTGAATAAATACAAGTTGCGCCTCAGTGTAAGTCGCAGGACCATCCAACCTATGAAGAAAAAGTGTGACTCATCGTGCCCAAAATGTGGGACAAACGTCAGAGAAAATGATCATTTTGCAGTGTTCTCTCCCTTTCTTCCAGTGCTGGATGTACATATGGATTTGATGCGAACACTCCTGTTTGATAGTCAGCACATCGACTTTGGTGGTGATGCTTGATGAGCAAAGCAGGCACAGTCACTCCTGACGCTTGACAGCTCACCTTCGGGCCCTTTTCGTCCTGAACTGTGTGATTATAAAAAAAAAAAAAAAAAAAAAAAAGCTCAGGGACAAACCATGACGTCAACCCAACTTCCTGTTTGTGTCTTCATGTCTATTTGTCATCTCTACCGATAAACGTGGGTTGTGTTGTATCTTCGTGTGATCTCGGCAGACTTCCCGTTCCCATTCAGTTGGGTCACCGGTTACATCGCCATCATGGTGGGAGCCGGGATGACTTTCATCGTTCAGAGCAGCTCCGTCTTCACATCGGCAATAACGCCTCTTGTCGGTAAGTCGAAGCGCGTCGTTTCACTCCAATGGCGGCACGGGGACCTCGCAGTGAGCACAGCCTCCCTCGCGGTTCTTATCAGAAATCAGTCCAATTCTTTGCATTCCGTCATTTTTACTTGATGAGTAAACCAAGTTACCGGATGTCGTAGGGCACGGGTGTCAAACTCAAGGCCCGGGGCCAGATCCGGCCCGCCAGGTCATTTTATGTGGCCCGCGGAAACAAATCGTGTGTGTCAACTTGCTAAAATATGTACCGAAATTTGAAATTGTCATGTGTAAAAAAAAAAAAAAGTAACGTTGAGGTTTCGCAACAATTTTGTAACCCAGTTTACACTCATTTGAACAATAATTGACCAAACTATTATAACTGACTGATTTCAAAACTAATAATCTATTAATTTGTTGTGTACAAGCAATAATTTTGTGGTTTCGCTGTCATCACGGCCCTCCGAGGGAAGACGTAACTCCAAAATGAGTTTGACACCCTACGCCGTAGAGGGGTGCGTCAGATCGATAATAGCAACCCAATCCTGAAAATCCGTATTTTGGCTTTCTCTCTCCACACCCTCTCGCATTTAACTGTTCTTTCCTGGAGTAGCCGACGAGCTAAAGAAACATTAAAACTCAGCGAAAGCCACATCGTTAAAAACCCCCACGTTAGGAATTCATCCTTCTTGCTAGCAAGCTTATTACACGAAAAAATGAAAATAAAGGGAAGCGTTATTTCAAAACTGGCGTCTCTCATTAGGCATCGGTGTCATCAGTCTTGAGCGGGCCTACCCTCTAACTCTGGGCTCCAATATCGGAACCACCACCACGGCCATTCTTGCGGCGATGGCTAGCCCGGGAGAAACGCTGGCTAACTCGCTACAGGTACGACAAAAGAAGAAGAAGACGACCCCGGAGTGTCTTTTGTTGTGTTCACTAATTTGGAGATCTCATCTTGTGCGTTTCTCGTTAGATTGCACTCTGCCATTTCTTCTTCAACATCATGGGCATCATGTTGTGGTATCCAATCCCGTTTACGCGGGTGCCCATCAGACTAGCCCGGGGGTTGGGCAACCGCACGGCGCAGTACCGCTGGTTCGCCGCCCTCTACCTCATTTTGTGCTTCCTGGTCTTGCCCCTCACCATATTCGGCCTGTCGCTGGCCGGCTGGCAGATCCTGGTGGGCGTCGGTGTGCCCGTCGTCGTCCTGGCGATCTTCGTCATCGTGGTCAACATCCTGCAGTCGCGCTGCCCCCGCGCCCTGCCCCGCTTCTTGCGCACCTGGAATTTCCTGCCGCGGCCCCTGCGCTCGCTCGCGCCCTGGGACAACGTGGTGACGTCCTGCCTGGGCTTCTGCGGCCGCTACTGCTGCTGCATCTGCAAGTGCTGCAGCTGCTGCCAGAAGGACGAGACGGCGCGCACGAAAGGCCTGGAGCTGGACAACAACCCGGCCGCCTTTACGAACGACGACCCCAAAGTCATCCAAGGGACTCATCTTTAAAAGCACCGCCTGAAAATGGTCTACAAATCTGTACAGTGATCTCTTGACGTGAATGATTCCTCTGACTGGAGCGTCTCCTCCGCTCTGTAATCAACGAAAATATTTTTGGGCTGCTATGAACTGTCTTACACTGGACCTGGTGAATATTTGTCTCTGGAGACTTCCGACCGCGATCTACACTCACTTTAGGACTGTTTGTATTTTCTGTATGGATGAAAATTTATTCATATCTCTGAATTTTAAATGTAGAATTGACATCTTTGTTATTTAAGACAAAAATGCGTGTGAATAAAAGACAATTTTTTAAAAAAGTGGACTTTATTTGCTTGCCACGGTGAAAGGATTTTTTTGGTACTGCGGGTCCTCAGTTCTGACCAGAGGTATCCGAAGTGAACATAGCGTCTTTATAAAAACCCAATCCAGACTAAATTTTGTGTTTTCTTGACAATCAAAACATATGTTATTTGGGTTTTTTTTTTGTTAGTGTTGTTTCTGAAACACAATTAACTTCATCCCCATTATTAAGATAAATCTTATTATTTTCAAAGAAAATATGTGTTTTGCGTCTCGTCATGCGTAGAAAAGCTCGATCTAAAAGACATGAGTAGTCATTACAAACACACATTGTGGTTATACTGAGAAGAAAAAAAAAATCCCGTTTCGCTACATGTGTAGCATTATTTCAGAGTATCATTTTGTCTCCAGTTTTTTTTTTTTAATCGCCAGCTATTTTGTTGTTCAAAGTTGGGTACACTCCACTTTAACGTGGTTCCAGCCAGACGTCTATGAAAAACGCACTTGCTCCCCCAAGCTCTTCATTCCAGTATTTCGGCTCGTTGCTAGCTTAGTTGGTTGTAGCCAAAGTAGCACCAAGCTTGCTCCGACTGCCTACGTTTACCGCACGTAGGGTAACGTAAGCGTGTTGTGGGGACGTGAATGTGTGAGCATGCAGCCCGGTGAAGCTTCTTGGGACAGTCGCTGCTGTTGGAGAAAGCGTTAATATGTGATTTTCAGTTTGGCTAGTCAGTGTATTTTAATGAGGCGCAAAATGTGAATTTTGGCCGGCAAACTACGATTCTAAATCACTTGGTCGCAGCCCTATTATCTCTCTCTCTCTCTCTCTCTCTCTCTCGCTCTCTCTCATACACACACACACACACACACACACACACACACGCGTGCGCCCGTGTGTTACACATGATTGATAACAGCTTCATTGCTTTTCATATCTGATGTGCCTTTGAACAGAAATTTTACGGTGTCATCCAGGGGCCTCTCAATCTCCAGATAATTTCATTTGTTTGTTTTCTTCGAAGATACTTTCATTGTCTTGATAAAATGTCGTTTCACAGATTGAAATCTGATTCAATAAAGTATGATTTCATGTTGTGTCACTCTTTTTTTGGGGGGGTGAAGACTTTGCACATGTCCACCATTTGCCCTTTTTGAGAAGGTTCTCGTTTGCCTGCACACACTTGTGACGCCATTAGAGTGCATATATTAGCTTGGCGCATTTTGAGAATCACTTTATTAGCAATAAAAAATATTTGTGGATTTTATTTCGAGGAACCCGTCCAATTTTTTTTGCATCCCAGATGGAAAATTCTATCCAATCACACGGAGTGCAACGCTCCCGTGGCTGATCGACTTCAAGGTCATCACTGCAATGACAGCGTCCAATCCACATAAACAGCGTGCATCTTTTATCACGGTTGGTTATTAGATCATATGATAACGGCTGTGGGCACACCCGCACAAAGCAGTGAGATGATACCACTCGTTGGAAGAGTGCCACGTTGTTGCATAGGACTGAAAAGCAATTCGAACCTGAAATAAAAAGTCTCACATTGTGCAAACAACGTCTCCACTGTATGAATTACATTCGGATTTCGAATGTAATTTTGTGTGCGTCTGCGTGAATGAAAGCAATATAATGGAATAAAGTCCTTATAACTTTTAATTTTTTAAGGCATATAAAAAAATGAAGGGCTGTGGGTTGCATTTGAACACCATTTTTGGCGGTGAAAGGTTTTGATAATTTTTGTGTTGAAGCAGTTTGTCATCGTCAGAACGTTTGGTAACTGAAAAAAAAAGTCGACTTCTTTCTCATTCTGCCTTGGGAATGCGACGTTTTGGTGTCTTTTCCAAGTACCACATTTCTCAAATGTGAAACATTGAGTGAATTTTTGTGAAATTACTTCAACTTAATGAGTTTATTTTAATTAATTTCGACCTGGAGAATTACGTTACCATTTTTTGGGAATCAATCCATCTGCTTCTCATCGAGACATGCTCGTCATTTTAACATTTATTTGTTAATTTGTATTTGTTTAAAAGAATGTCAGTTTCTGACCGAATTCCAAGCGTTGTGTGTGGACGGTCATCAAATCTTCGCCGGCGCTGATATGCATTCTCTCCTGCACAATGTGAAAGTGAGATAAGAAGATAAAGATTTGGTTTTAAAAGCACATGAAAAATGCTCAAGTCCAGAGCGTTTCCAAACAGTCACGGTGAAGATTTACAGGCTGCCCCGTGGCATTTCAATTTGAACGTGAAATGAAGCAATTCTCTCATCAAGTCTCATCAAATCATAAAGTGTAATCTGCTATCATGTTCACGTGGCTGCGATGCTCTGCAAACAGTAAAACGCTGAGGACACCCCCTTTTGGATGCCTCCTGGATCTTATGTAAGATGTTTTGACTGGTGTCTTATTGCCCATAAAAGTCATATTTGATTTCCATGGCTTTTAACGGTAAACACATGATGAGATGTTGATATCACCACTTAACCGTATCGTATCGGTTAACTGTGGTGTGTACATCCCTCGAGAAGTGTCAGAAAGCTAAAATTTCTGGTTTTCACAGGAAGTGGAAAGAAAAGTGACATGAGAAATGAATTTTCGCACACCTCGATTTTGGCTTTTCATTTCGCACACATCCTGCCTCTGACACAAATGCCAGAGTTAAAAAAAAAAAAAAAAAGTTCTGTCAAAAAGGGTAAGGAATTGTTCACCTAAACGGCCCACAGAATGAGCCCTGCGGAACGCCGTACTCTTTAAATTCATTTGGAGCTTACAACTGGCAAAAGGGGGGGTAAACATTTGGATGGTTGCTATGACAACTGCTTTCATAGCAAAGATGTCACACACCTCGATGAGTGTTTGAGGAACCTTTAGCATCGCTTGCGGATGGGCTGCAGGTATGACGCGGCACAGGCGGGCAAAAGGATAAATGAACTTTTTGAATTGAAAATTTGAAATGGCGATCCGCGAGGGAAAGTGGACTCATTTGAAACACGTCTGTCCTTTAACTTGTTTGAAAGGAACCCCCTTTTTTTCCATCTGTGCTTGATGTAATGATTTTTTTTTTTCCAGAAAGGTTTGCGCGGGTTCCCACCGAAAGACGCACCTGTCGGCCATTTGTCAAAATAGGCTCGTTACTTTTGTTTCAACATCAGCCAATGAAAGTGCAACATAAAAAAAGAGAAACTAGAGGCAGGCCTAGTCTTTGCCTGAGCATGCGGAAAAAAAACAAACAAAAAAACAAACAGCGACAGCAGTGACAGGGACGAGTGTTAACCAGGAAGCTTTGACCACAAAGACACTACAAATGATCCTTTGGACTTGTTTCGGTATTTTACGGTTGTTCGCTCCAAGAATGGCGTGTGGTGAAGGCATTGCTTTATTTTCCTCATTCTCACTGTGAGAACTAATTAATAAGAGCTAAACTAGCTTGCGTGGAGAAAGTTTTGTGTTGTGGTGTAACAAGAGTAAATGGGAATTGTATTCACATGACAGTAAACATTCATTTTACTTTAGAACTTAAGTACATTTCAGAGTGCACTTTGTTACTTTTACATAAGCAGGGGAGTTGAAACCGTACTTCTGCTGAAGTACAGAGTGTGCGTACATCTGAAGACGTCCTCATCGCACAATGCGTGGAACTCTTTATCTGGGTACAACGTTCGCTTTTTCAAAGACAAGACGGCGATGCGTTCAAGTGCATCTTAACCCTTGCCGTACATTTCGCTGAAGTGATCCAAAGCACGCGGAAAGGTTGGAAATGTCAACAAAATGGTGGTCGTCTGAAAACGGTCGAAAATCCAAGTGGCAAAAGCGAGCTTGAAATGGATGGTTGCCAACAAGCTTGCAAAAAAAAAAATATAAACAATTTGTGATGTCCAAAACGAAAAGCCTCCGCTTCCTTTTGACACAGCCAGCATTTTGTTTGGATTTACTGATCCGATTTAGCGGATTCACCGGAACCGCCACGGACGGTTTGCTTGAATTGGATGACTGAATTGAGTTCAGTGACACGCCAGCTGCTCAGATGATAATAATAATAATAATAATAATACATTTTATTTATAATTTATCATTTGGTTGTACTCATTCGAGGTATCACAGGAAACACCATCCCGGCAGACGATTCGCTCCCAGTGGTTCAATAATTCAAGTTCGTGGAATCACCAGAAAGTCAGACTCAAGTGAGTCACTGTATCGACTCAATGACTCTAATCAAGGAATCACTGCTTACAAATAGTGTCGAGAAAAAAATGACTGCGTTGTGTTTGACATTTTGCCCTGTTTTGTGGTGTTGATTTCATTTTTTTGTTTCAGTTCTTAGTCAACTCAAACGACTCACAAGTGTGCGGAGCTTGTCGGCGTTCATGTCAACAGTGGCCGCCCACATCGGCATCAAGGTCGTGTCCAGTTCAGCGGTTCCATTCTACAAAAGTACAAATATGTGAGTAAATGTCTGGTGAGTGAATGAACAATAGCACAATGTGTGCGGCCACCCAGGAATCTTATCGACTTAGCTTGTTTTGTGCAGCGTCAAAAAAAAAAAAAAAAAAGTGTGTGACTGGGTCAAGGTCAGCATAACCAAAAGTAACACGGTGGAAAAAAAATGTCTTGGTCGTGATACAGAACGTTCTTGGCACGACGCTGAATTTTTGCTTGTGGAAATTCCGACGGGGAAGAAGAGGAGGAGGACTCACTCAATCGCTTTCCTGTCAGCGACGCACAATTTCTTTGCTATCCAATTGAAGCAGCTCCCCTCATTCCCTTCAAATTTCCAAAAGTAACACGGTGGTATTATTATTATTATTATTTTTATTATTATTATTATTATTATTCAGCGCAGAGAGAGGCGGACTACATGGCATGCAGATGCAGGAGATCGACGAGCTCAAAATACACTTCACAGGCATTGCGAGAAAATACCCACTTGCCAATGAGCGAATTGATTTCTGCACTGATTTAGGGGGAGTGCTGTCATATTTCTGAATCATCCACACACGTCCGGGGATCTCAGAAT